CCATGAAAACTTCACCAGGGCAATGACTTTAATCTAATTGCCAAGCTTCAAATACCTCGAAGATGACACACCATTAACATCTTTCCAAAAATGGTAAGATCTTCTTTTAGTGATTCATTCCCATAGCTACAGAAGATCTGTTCCTCAAAGACTTACCCTGTTCCTTAGCTCTTGTGGGAGTCTGACACTTATAGAGATCCCTGTTACAGAACCTTCTGGATTTTTGTGATTTGTTGCCATGTAAACTATTTACCCACACAAGAAGCCTTTCTACCATGAAAGCCCTTCAAAGCAGTCTGTCTTTTGTGACCATCTGACCTACGAAGTTTCAGCAAATCTTAAAAATATTTGCCAATGAGATCACTGACTTTAGATATCTTTAAAACTTGTATTTTCAAAATATAAATTATTTCTTACAAGTGTAGTCATGCTATTCTTGACTTTAATCCTCATTCTTATTATTATGACGTGAGAAATACAAATTTGAACTTATTGTCTAATAGGTCTATTTTCCTTCCTGGATCCAAAGACAGGAGATCAATGTCACCATGAGTTTTATAACAGAAGTATTTTATTTTATGCTTCTGGTGATTAATCCACAACTTTGAGGATACAAGATAACTCTGGGCCATAAAGACTTTATATACTAAATACTATTATGTTCAAAGAAATGGAGCAACACGAATAGCAGTTGAATGAAATAGTAATCTCTCAAAATTAAGGTGATTCTTTAAGAAATCAAAGAAAAATTAAGAAAGAAAGAAAGAAAGAAAGAAAGAAAGATAAAGGAAAGAAAGGAAGAAATATTAACTACTCAGAATTACACATGCTTATTGGTGTAGTTTGGAAAAATGATATCTCAAATTAAGAATGATCAGTACTTTTCCTTAAATTAAATATTGTGTTTGTCATTTTAAAATTAATATAAAAATAACATTTCACCTTCATTTAAATAATTTTCTCTTTAATAACAGTAAGAAGGAAAATATCAAAGATTGTGGTCAGGTTAAAATACTTTTTAAAGGTGGGCACGGAGGCACTGGCTATAATCCTAGATCTCTGGAAAGCTAAGGCAGAGGGTCGCAAATTTCAATCCAGCCCAGGTCACTCAGCAATTTAGCAAGACTCTGTCTGAAAATGAAATAATAAAATGAATAGAAGGAAATAAAAATAATTTGAAAAGAGTGATAGAGCTTTACAATAGCTACAGTGCATAAGTTCTGGGTTTGAATCCAGGTAGCAGGGAAAGAATGTATTTTAAAGTTACAGTTGTTTGTGGAGAGACCTGAATGAACAGCTTTCTTTTACTAATTTTGAGGCAAATTAGGTCATCTTAGTCTTATAATTTCAGACATTCTCTAATGTCTACTTGTGACATGAAATATACCATATATTTCTCTTTCTCTCCCTTTCTGTATGATTAATTTCTTATAAACTTGGTTTATGTGTATCATAGTGGTAAACATACAGTATTTGAAAACATCAAACTGAAAGAGATTTTCCAGAAAAGTTTATTTATTGAATTCAGACAATTTTAAAGTATTCATTAATTTAGTTATTGTAACATTTTTTAGTTTGTTTGGAACAATTTTGTGAATCTCTTCTTTCACTGGTAAGTTTATCAAGTCTAAAAAAAAATTAAGTACTGCCATGAAAACTTGAGCTTGAATTGAGATATTTTGTAAATGTGAAACACATTCTAGATTCTAAAGACAGAATATGTAAAAATATTATAAAGTACTTCATCAGTCATTTATTTTATATTGTTAAATGTGAAAATGACAATATTTTGTAAAGATTGGACTGAGTAAGATGTTAAAATCAATCTCACAGGTCTCTTTTTAACTTTATTGAGGTGCTGGCTAGAAAGTAAGCTTAATGACATTGCTTGTGTTATACTTCTATTTGACCACAAAGTTAGAAAAATAAAACAAAGCAAAGGGTAATATAATTTAAAATAAATTTGAAATGAATTACAAGTTTGTGTGAAATATGTCATAATTAACAAATTGACATATACTTATTTTTCTTCTAAAAGGTAATAGTTTTATAAGTATTAAGGGAAGAGAAGAAATCATAAGTGGTATATTGGTAGCTATGAGTGTATAAAATTCATGACCCGTGCGTTGGTTTTAGAAACATTTTAAGAGCTCATTTTGAGCAAAATTTAAAAGAAACAGTTCATATTACTGTTGTGGCAGCCTCTTCCATCTTCTGAAGAAGGGAAGTGTGTTCTTAATTCTCTTAAGTGGGTGACACTGGGTCATTCTTTGGGACTCCTCCTTTGCCAGAGAAGGCGTGGCTCATCATACTCTTCCAACTGTATCAAACTTGATCTTTCTTTCTTTGGGGACACACATTACTTTTCTTCATTCTTGTCTTGTAAAAATATGCAGTTATTGGAAATCATTTACATATGCTAGGAACACCTTGGGTATTTGAATCTTTTGCAGCTATGAATTTGTCAAATATATATGGCTGTAAATGTGAATGAAAGCACATGGTTGTCATTTCTCACACAGCCGTGATAGGGTGGACTGCTCACTTTGGTACAATTTAGTGTGTAAAAGTAGTATTCCTGTGTTTGGCATGATGGCATATGCCTCAAATCCCAATGTTGCAGAATCTGAGTCAGGAAAGTCATGAGATCAAGGCCAGCCTTACCCATACAGTGAGTTCAAATCTTACCTAACTGTATAGTGAGACACTGTCTCAAAGGACACACACACGCAGAGGCACACACCCATGCACATTCACATGCACATGCACAAAGTATATACCCTTGTTTTGATTTTTGGTTCAAGCTAATCTTTGTAGTTTACTTATTCTGGGGGAACTTCTGAGCAATGAAGTTGAGTGTGTATTAACCCCATTGACTTCATGATGTAGTGCACTGGGGAGCCTGTCTACCACCTGTGCTTTTTTCTCATCAGTTATGCCTTCCTGTACCTAATAATGAAAAGGAACAGTTAGATGCAGCTAACAAATGGGATTCTGTATAGATTGACTGCTTTGGACCCTGCAAGCAGTCAATATTATAAGGGATCAAGGATGATCTATAACTTTTAAATCGAGGGAACCACAGAGTCAAGAGCTATGACTTGCTGGACCCCAAAAAGATATTTTGAGGACAGGAGGACTACATACTGGACAACACTGCCTTTGTTGATTTTCTTAGGTGGGGAGTAATGTTGTTTCACAGGGGTAATATTTTCCTTCTAAGAAGACTCAGGCTAAATACTCTATGCTAAACCCACTTTGGGCATTTTGTCAAAAGGCAAATGTGTGGGTGTGTATGTGTGTGCTTATACATGTGCTTACAAATAGATAGACACATAGTAGGTATTACAAACTGTTGACTGTCCATGAACAGTACAGGTATTTCTGTGGTGCTCTTTCAAACTTTCAGTGGATCTGACATTTTTCAAAGTAGGAAACAGGTATTTTTAATGTACATGTTACCTTGAAGTAAGAAATGTGATGAATTAGTGTAAAACCCCAACATGTGACATATATTTTCAACATAAATTAAAAACAGTGAACAAAGTAGAGTATATGAAAATCTTAAGATCAATAAGAAAAATATAATAGCTTCTACAGAAAAATAGACAATCAACAGAATAGGTTATCAATGGAGGAATAAAAAGAAAGCCTGATAGATTTATTTAACTATTTAACATTTATAATCAGAGACAAATACTTAAATGAAATATCAAGATAGAAATTTTGTGTCTTACTTAATAAAATGTTAAAATAGATGAACATGGTGGTTTAGGGAAACATTCTCTTTTAAGCTGATGATAAAAGTACATTCTTGAGAAGATCATTTGTAAATTTGTATTAATCATCCTAAGAGCACCTGGAACAGCAATAAAAATGTTAGCAACAAAGATTTTTTTTTGAAGATCTTTTTTGAATAAGATACTCTATATGCAGAATGCTGTGTATTATAGATTATGTTTTGTCATATTTAGAGTAGAAAAATGTTTAAATGTCTGTGTTGTGGTGCTATTGCAAATATCCATGATTCAATGAAATGACTGTAAAATTTATAGAATTAAATAAGATGATAAATACTTCACATATACTTAGTACAGAATTCAATGAGAAATGAGTTAGTAGATTATATCCATGTTATGCTCTATATATTCAGAAAAACAGTGGATTCTGTAACATTATATGTTTAAAGATTTCTAAACAGTATTTAAAAGAAAAAGGGTAAAAAATGTGTTTAGTATGGTATTGATTTAATAAAAAATATATAAATAATTTTATAAATACTATAAATTTACTGTAATTATTTGTATTTGAAATTTATTTATATACTTATAATTTATATATTTATATTTATTATGTTTGATTTAAATGTACTATACATTTATGGAAGGCATAGACAAAAGTCACATAGCAAAACAGTAAAGTTCTTTAAAGGGCAGGATAATTTTGGATAACAGTGATTTTTTTCTTTTTTCCTAAAAATTCACATTTATTTTTTAATTGAGAAAACAAAAGAACCTAAAAACAAAGACCAATTTTATTTCAAATTCTTACATGCTTCTCTGAAATTGGAATGTGGTTTCTGTTTCCCATCCAGATTGAAATGAGAAAGTTGAATTCAAGGTACAGATGTAGCCTGAGTTTAGGGCCACTGGAGGGTGTTTCCTTGTTCCTAAGAAATGTTGCTCAGAGTAAAGACGATGAAGACGATGTCATACTCTGTGAGAAACAGAATGGTTTGGGGAATCAGATAGAGTTGGATAAAAGCTCTTTCTGATGTTCATCGTGATATGATTCAACCTTCTTTAAACTTCATTTCCATTTTCTCAGCCATTTGTAAATGAATAGTAATACTCTCTAAATCAGGGTATTACAGTCCTTCGATATAATTATTAAAGAGAAGTGTGGTGGGAAACAGAAAGCAAAGCCACTCTCTGTTCTCTGCTCATGATGCCAATCTTAAGCCATAAAATTTACTTACGTAATTTATTTCATCTTCACAGAAAACAGTGAGATGCTCTGGGGACAGTTCCTTGAAAATTTCATCTGACTCCCAGAGGTGTGTGAACGTACAAGACCTGAAGCCAGATTCTGGAGGTATAATATTCCCTTTGGTCCTACAACCTTAAGTGAATCACTCTTTTTTGGCAGTTGTGACATCCTGAGAGGGAAGCATTTTCCCATAAGAAAGTAAATTCCATTAAGTTGCCCTAATGTGAATTTTTGGCAGAATTCAGAAACTCAGAAGTCAGGTTAGGCTCTGTTCTCTAGAAGGTTTGAATGAAATAGGATGATGGGCTTCAACCAGCCACAGGGATGGAAATCAGAGGGTGCAGGAAAATGCTTTTGCATTTGCTTTGTGTTTATAGCTTTATCATCTTAATAGTGAATTGGTTTTAGGCCTGAGCTGAGCACACAGTGAAGACAGAGAGACCCAATGGTATTCGCAAACCTGAGACAAACAGACCAAAATGGTGTTAAAATCAAGGAACAATGTGAGAGACCTGTAACACATTGTTATTGCTTTGAGGCTGGGTAGAAATTACTGTATTTCTGCAGTTGTGTGCTCCTGGCACACCTGCAGTATCATGCCACTGAGCTGTAGACATTTATCACTCTCAGAATATCTGCTTGTCAGCCACTTCTGAACACAGAGGGGACAATAAACAGCATAAATGGCACAACTATAAATCCTACCTGCTAGTTTACTTTTTCAAAAAAGAGATATGGTTGAGATTAATTCTTGGGTCAAAATCTAAAGTTTGTCATTCAAAATAGAGGCAGCTGTTTGTGTGTTGTTTAATCTCTGAATTAAAAAATGTTTCTTCCTTTTAATTTCCCAGGCTGGCAACTTTTAGTATGGCATGAAAATAATTTAGAATGTCATGAGTGTTTCCGGAATTCTTCCCCGTTTACTGCATTATTAAGTATTACATAAATTATTCAATGTCTTTTATGTAAAATAATTACTTTTTGCATACAAGATCAAAACTACTTGGCATTATATAAAACCACTAGATAGCAATGATATATCTTTTTTTTCTAAAAATGCCTTTCCTATAGACAGAGCACTGATTAACACACAGGGGAAAATGTGATGACAGAAAAAAATAGGAAAGCAATTTAGTTTGTTTATACAATAAATAGCCATGTTTGTTAATATTTACTGTTTATATTTATATAGCCTTTATTTTTTCACTGCCTCTGTACCCTGAGATAAAGATTGGAGTTTGTATTTTATTCCTGGTTATCTAGCCCCAGCAGAAGGCTGTCTGGGAATTGGCAGGGTAAGCGTTTTAAAACCCATATATTTAATTAGCTCTCCTGGCCTGGTAGAGAAGGCAGCTTGTAGCATAGAGACTTGAGTGCACTGGTCCTGGACGGTGGTCCCCTGAGTGTGAGAGAGACTGCTTCAGACTCCAAAGGGTGTGGGATGCTGAGAAGGCATCAGTAGTATACAACCTCCTGATCGTGACTTCATTATTTTCAAAGCTGATGAATCCTCAGATTACATATACCAAACAGGACAATGTGTGCTTAGGAAGATCTGCTTGTTCATTCTATTATGTATTGATTCCACATTTGCTTCCACATAACTGCCAGCCATTCCTCCTCATACTTCTTCCTGAGGCAGCATAAACCAGCTCTTTCCCTGGAACTGTCCGGGATAACTATGTATTTACACCTCCACACTAAAACACAGAAGATAAAGTCACTTCTGGTAGGTCAAGGCCTAGCCTTCACTGGGACCTAAAAGTACCTGTTTCACAAAATAGAATTAAGGTGTGTTATGTACCTGTACCAACTCCCCACAAGGAATGTAGCCACTGTGTACTGCAAACATGCACTACTAAAACTTGAAAAAAAAATTTTAATCAGGACATATGAGAAAATGAGAAATTGACATGGTAATACATTTTATAATTAAATCTCTCTGGACAAACTAAATAATAAATCTATCTTTGGGGTGTTTGATTCCTTCTAAAAATGAGAATGTATTGGTAACTTCATTGGCATGTGTAAGAGTGTAGATTATTAGAGTAATGAGAGGTGTTTTGATAGAAGCCAGTGGAATATTCTTAACAATGGCATTTTTTAAAAAGAAAAGACCACGGTGCAGTTAACATATTGTATGCCTGTCGGCATCTTATTCTAAAGCACTCTACACACAAGAGTAATCTTAATAATTAGGACTGTCATTATGCTACTGCTGACAACTTCCAAATGTCTACAGGGAACTGGAGGTCAGTGTGTGTGTGTGTGTGTGTGTGTGTGTGTGTGTGTGTGTGCGCACACGCACGTGCTTTACTCCTTTACTCCTCAGCATTTAGTTTGACATAAAATCAGATTTTACTAGTTCCAATTAGCCTTCGTGAATAAGGGCAAATGAAGAAAAAAGGAAATAAAATTCTAAGATTAACATTTTTTGACATTAGGCATTTTGTGTGTTATTATTATTGCTTCCTGCTTTAAAATATTTTCTCTAGAATATGGAGAAAGTTAAAGGCAAATGCAATGTCTATAAATCCAGCAGTAAAATACACAACAACACAAATTTTTTTGTGTGTCAAGTCAGTTTGTCAAATCTTGTTTAAAATGCCTTTTAGAGGGGCTGAAAGGCTATTCTGATATCCAAAAGCCTCTACAGGAGTTGTATATCAGAAGGATGTAGTAAAGAACAGATAGATTCTCACTCCACATGCACTGCATTAGAATTACCTGGGAAGATATTTTTAAAATACTAATCATGTTTACCAGAGAAATTTTGATTTTATCAACCTTAGGTAGGACTTGGATATTGGTAGTTTTGAATATGCCCTTTGTACGAGTCCAATGTATAGATGGGAATTAAAACACTTGGTCTATTCTAAAACAGTATAAATACAAAATGTACACTTGGTGGTCTTAGGCCTTGAATTAGCCATCTTCACAAAGGTATGTCTTATTATTTCTTGCTAATGCTGGTGCTCTACACAGTTACAAAAATGTGGGTTCTGTATAGCGAGTGTTTAGGTACACACATCCACTTAGCTCAGCTTTCTATCACTTACCAGAAGACTGGCTGGCAAATGAATCCTAATATTTTATTTTTCCTCATCCCAAATTGAGACTTCTACCTTCATTTATTTCCAAATGTCCCAAGTAAGGCATCATGTTTTTTTTCAGTTCAGAAATTAAAGCAACTATATATAATGAGTTATAATTGTCAGGTGAAATAAGATTTATATGCCATCTCTGAACAAAAGTTGAGGTATATACACATGATGAGGAAAATATACAATGAATGTTCAAATTGAAAATGTAGGTGTGTGTCCTGTGCCGAGTGAGCTAGTGCTCCAAGAGCTGCTGGTCTCTTGGTTTGAGTCCATGCTTTACTCCCACCACCACGGTTCCCAGCTGAAACTCACAGAGAGAGCTAGGTATTTCCCATATACTTCATGGGGGCAGAGCGGGTGACCAGTATCCCCCTGCCATTACAGACTGAGTCTCTGCCCTCCGGGGACCTGCAACAGAGAGGAGGTCCCCACTCAGAAGCCCCAGGGACTGCTCTAGCTGTGGGCGGGTGAGTGTGGCCCCGCCCTGCATGCGCCCTGTGCCCAGTGAGCAAGTGCTCCAAGAGCTGCTGGTCCAGCAGTTCACGTCTGTGATTCACTTCCCAGCTGAAACTCATGGAGAGAGCTGGACAGGAGGTCCTCACTGAGAAGCCCCAGGCACTGCTTTCACTGGGGGGTGTGTGTGGCCCCTTTCTGCACATGCCATGTGCCAAGTGAGTAGGTGCTCCAAGAGTTGCTGGTCAAGTGGTTCAAGTCCATGCTTTACTTGCACCAGACCCCCTAGGGGGTCTCAGTCACGGGCAGTGTGTGATTGCTGCATGTCCAGCATGCACCTGATTCCTATATGTGTCCTGAACTGAGTGGAGACACAGAATCAGGTGGTTCACAAACTGTCGACCCTGCAGTTTGTGCCTGCATTTTGCTTGTATTCTGAACTGCCTGGGGACATAGGTCCACAAGACTGGGATTGTCACACCAGTGCAACCTGAGTCTGGGCCCTGCATGTGCCCTGAACTGCTAGGGGATGCTGAATCAGATGGTCTGCCATAAGCTAACACCAATGCCAGCATCTGAGACCTAGGAGAACTAGATACAAATCAACAACTGCCATAAAACCCCAAGATTAAGTACTGCTTCTCAGGGGTCACTGAGGGGCAAATCTGACCAACAGGAAAACTATGGACACTAGCGGCCTTTGCTGTGCAGCCACTGAAGAGAGAAACTGAGCTTTCTGCATCCGGTAGCAAACATGACAAAATGAAGGACTAAAATACAATCCCAGAACTCCACCCCACTCAGAACAAGTCCAGGAGACATTGACATAGGAGAACTTGGTAACACGTGCCTGAAATAGCTGAAAGGATTGCAATGGAAGTAAAGAAACAACTCCATAAGGCCACAGAATGAGATCAAAAATAATCTCTCAGGCAAAAAATGCAATGACAATAATATTGAAGGAACTGTTCAAAAATTCTGATGAAGAAACATATAAGAAAATAGAAGAACAAAGGCAATGGACAGAAGTGTTAAATAAAAAATATAGAAAGGACTTAGAATGCATGAACCAGATTCAAAGAGACTTCCAGGAAAACAAAGCTGCCATTGAAAGCTGCCAACACCACTAGAATGAAGCTGAAGATAGAATCTCAGACTTTGAAGACAGCATGGCAGCTAGAGACCATGAAAGAAAGGATCTCATAAAATCAACAAGGATCCAGGAAAAGTCAATTCAACAGCTGCAAGATGAGGCAAAGAGGAATAATGTATGACTTATAGGAGTCAAAGAAACAGCAGGAGGCAACAAAACCGACAAAAAAAGAATATTTGCAGAAATAATAGTAGAAAATTTCCCAAAAGTGGAAACAGAATCTGATATTCAGGAAAATGAGGCATATGGAACTCCAAACAACTGCAAGCAAAATAAAACTACACCCAGACCTATAATAGTCAAGTTCCCACATCTCCAGCAGAAGAACAGAACATTAAAAGCTGCTAGAGAGAAAAAATAGATTATCTACAAAGGAAAGCCCATCAGAATCACGGCAGACTTCTCAGCACAAACCATCCAATTGAGAAGAGCATGGAGTGAAGTATTACAGGTCCTGAAACAGAACACTTCCAACTAAGACTGATGTACCCTGCCACACTATCCTTCAAATTCAACAGAGAAATAAAATATTTTTATGACAAAGAACAATTGAAGAACTTCATGAGTGCCAAGCCAGCATTACAAAGAGTACTAAAAGATATTCTAGACAGAGAAAAATCTGACCACAATTTCAAGAACAACAGTAGAAAGGAAATGTCAAGAAGTAAGTAAACAGGTAGAAAAAGTAAGACACCAACGCAAGTAAATAACATGACAATGATAAATCAACACATATCGGTTATAACTATAAATGTAAATGCCCTCAGTTCTCCAATCAAAAGAAATGACTTGCAGAGTGAGTTAAAAAACAAAATCCAATGATATGCTGTACACAGAAAAAACATTTTACTCAAAAGGAAGTCCATAGACTAAAAGTCAAAGGAAGGAAAACAATCCTCCATGCAAAAGGCACTCAGAAAAAAGCAGGTGTTGCTATTCTGTTTGCAGACAATCTAAACTTTAAACCGACAACAATCAAAAGAGATAAAGAAAGTCACTACATACTAGTCAGCAGAAAATTGCAAGAGGATGAGGTAACAATCATAATCATGTATGCATCAAATATTGGAGCTCCAAATTATACAAGACAAATCTTGACAGGCATAAAAACCCATGTAATTAATAACACTATTGCAACAGGGGACCTCAACACCCCATTGACACAAAGAGATAGGTCAACTGGACAAAAATTCAGCAAAGAAATAACAGATCTGAACCAAAGCTGTGAAAAAATGGACTTAGAAGATGTATGCAGAGTGTTCCAGCCCACAACATCAGAACACACATTTTTCTCAGCTGCACATGGGTCTTTCTCTAAATAGACTGCATTCTAGCCCATAGAGCATACCTTTTGAAATGCAAAAGAATTGAAATTATCCCATGCATGTTATCTGACCACAGTGCAATGAAATTGGAAATTAATGACAAAAGGAACTCCAAAAACTACA